GAATATAATATTTTTACGGTGATAACAGCTCATTGTCGAAAACTTACGAAACACAGACATATTCATAAAGAGTATTGACAGAGGTTGCCGCCAGAACAAAAGCAGTTTCACTGCGTGTCTGACATCTTATCACCGCTGAACAATAAATAGGTGTGAATATTATTAGGCACGTTGTCGAAACAAATGAATAGGATTAAGAACAATGCCGTTTTGGACCAGCTGGTCCAACAATGAAGTCAGTCACGGTCTTGTTGAATTGGGTTAGTAATAGGTACTTTTCAAGTTTTCAATTTTTTTGAGTATTCTTTAACCCCGAAGCCGAAATTGGGGGTGCGGTTACTATTACGTATGCAGTTACTATTAGAACTTTAACGGTAGTTGGGAGGCTATGGTCAAATTAGAACATATGGTTTACTGATCTAGCATAATATGTATGCAATTTTTAGTACACATACTTTCTAATTGAGCAAATATAGCATCCAACTTCTTATCCAATCCAAGTTGTGACTAGCCAGGAATAGAGTACACCGAAAAATGGCCTGGTGAATCACTACACAATTTCATAGTCAACACAAATTCTGTGTTGTCACTAAACGACTGTCTCCATGATTTCAGTACATAACCAGGAGTATACACACACACAACACAACACTTCAGATCAATTCAATAGTGTATTATTCATAGATTTTTCAAAGTCTCCCTAAGTGGCATTGGGTGAAATGTGATCCCTAAATAAAATATTTGCAATACACATACCACAGGTGGCATCTTGGTAATCATTAGCACCAATGCTAACATATGACTGTCATCTTCATCTGATGCATCTGCACCAAGCTCTAATAATAGTCGAGCTGTTTCACTGCGATCTGAGAGTTAGAATTTAAAAATTTTTTTTAGAGAATAATTACAACATGTATGTGGTGAAGCAAGTAATAAAGTAAAATCAGAATATATTTTTTTTTCATATGCTCATGTATGCATTCAATGCAGTTTTTATCATCAATAGTCTCATAAGTGTTGAACAAAGTGATGATGGCACTAGACTTCAGAAAAAGGAATTCAACCATTTTGAGGAAACCCGAGAATAGCCTGATGAATGGCTACAGTATGTGACTATGTAGTCGGTACAGAATTCTGTGTCATCACTGATTGGCTGCTGGATTATATTGACAAGCTTGAGGTCACATTGTCATCATGCATCACATGATGTTTCTTGTGTTGTCAAATTGTCAATCCTTTGTATGTCATGCAGATAAGAAGGTTCACTATACAGTTACCAAGATACTAGAATGCCAATCATTTTGCACACTAAAAATACGCATATAAATATCATACTTTATATCAGGCAGCAAAAACATAATTCAACTTAGTAAAAATATCAAAACTGTTCTGAAGCAAGTACTACATTCGTTCAGAAGGAACACTATCTAGAATCAACTCACCTCCTTCAGCAGCCACTTGTAAAGGTGTTCTCCTCTTGTAATCTGTAGCATGGATGTGAGCACCTCTTCTGATCAATGTTTTCAATGAATTACAAGCATCATTTTTGGCTGCATAATGTAAGGGGGTTTGGTGTTCTCCATCTGTCTTGCACTCAATTTCAGCTATAGAGCAAACAATACTTAGTATTGGTTATGTATCACATGATAGCCTCACATTCACATTTGATAGAATTCTTATTTTATTTTATTTTATATTTTATTTTACAATGCTTATATCCCAAAAATTGATCCCATTTGAGTGGTCTAATAATTCAAATTTTTACTACCATCTACCATTCTACCATCCTTATGTAACTTGACCAGATAAAGGTTAAAATATTCTTTATAGACAGGTGGTCTTTTTGGAGGTTTTCCTGTTAAAACCAATTTCAGTCAGATTTTAAGCAAAGGAATTGTATGAAATATTACTGAAATATTTATATCATGGGGGTACATTCAAACACAATTTATTATATATTAAAGTGTTGAATTTAATTTCCAATTCAAACATCCCTATCAAATATAGTTTGTACTTTTGTAAAATTAAAAGTTAAATGTAAAATTGCAATGGATATTGCAATGTTCTGATGAGGGAAATTGATGGGGAGATAGCACTTTTCAGTTTACTTAGGCAATCCATACACGTATAAAATTGTGTGAAATACAATGAGGAAGATGATTGGTTCATTTGCCAACTGTTCGAGTCTATACTACGTGGTACATGTACTGTAAAAGGGTTAATTATTCACTGGGTTTTAGTTTAGCTTATTTCGCTGACTGGAAAATGCCCTAAATTAAAACCCAGTGAATATGTAAAATTTAGCATAGAACACATTATCTAAATGATAAAACCGTGAATTTAAAACCCACTGAATATGCCTGAAATGGTAAATAAGCGAAATTTAAACTCAGTGAAAATTAGTCATTTTACAGTATTATATTTTAGTGGAACAGAATGCCAGTCATAACCTGTCAATGCTCAGAATCACATTTGGGCACAAACAAAATATTCACACGTGTAAAAATGAACACAGTTTAGAAAGCGTTATGGTTGTACTTACCCCCATGGTCTAACAGAAAGTCTACCATCTCTGAGTAGTCGACAGCAGCTGCTACGTGTAGCGCTGTTCTACCAAAATTATCACCTTGGTTGATTTCACAACCTTTATCTAACAGGAACTTAGCAACGTCTGTCTCCCAAACTCTGGCAACCTGCAATGAAATATATATAACATATGATGTAAATTTCCATAGAAATATACAAAAGTGATATTTAAAACGACACTATCAACAGAACTGCACATATGTAGATTTTATTGTAGTCTAATGTGATTACAATTAGATCCATTTAGGTTTCAAACTGTTTTTTTATATTTTACATTTTTCAGTACTTTTATATGTATCTCAGTTGCCTTAATAATCATATGAAAAATTGAATAACGTAAGTGAAAGAAAATAGACGTACATTTTGTAAATGAACAAAAACAACTGTTTCAATAAATAAATAAATGTTAATCAGATTGCCCGTGGTCATACAGTTTGGTACAAAGGCAACTAAAAGGCCAGGTTAACTTCAAAACTATCACATATCTAAATAGTGTAGAGTAATATAGATAATTACTACAAAGAATAAGTTGAAATTACTGATGACAATGATACTCTCTTTAAAAATTAAAAGTTTTTCTAAAAAAGCAAAACTAGCTGTAATATTCTTTAGGGGCTGGATACAGATTTTCCGGCTCAAGGTCGTAAAACCGAGGACAGCAAATGCTGTATCCAGCCCATAAAAGTTCTATCATATACTGTGGAATACTTTATTTTCGCTGGAATTAATTTTCGCTGAAAAGGCTTTTAGGGAGTTTTGTATGAAATTTATTTTCACTGATTTTTGATGAGTTTAATGTGAAATATAGAAAAAGCAAAATTAATTCCAAGCAAAAATAAAGTATTCTACAGTACCTTATAGGTGTAATTATAATTAGCGCGGGGTGACCTCAAACTACATAATTTAGAAAGACGCATTTTTTTTGAATAATGAAAGCAGGGCGCACTTCCCATAGCGTTACGAGGCTGGGCGATATGAGGTGTATGATAAGAACAAATACCATATACATTTATATCATATGATGCCCAGTATACGAGACCGCTGACACCCTCACCTCGTGTAAAATACTCTGTCCATGTTTATCAGTACAACGAACATCAGCATTATTATCCAGCATATTCTCAACAAACTCCAAATCAATGAGGTCATCTTCTTTGTCCGATTTGGCCAAGGCAGCAAAGTACGAGATGAGTGCTCTATTCGCATTGCTACGTGACGTGTAGTCTTCTGGTATGTATTCATCCAACTGTCCTCCTTTGGCTCCTTTACCATCAGAGACTAGGTATAACAATATGAATAGGAAATTAATTACATGTGAAGGCAGTTTTAAATAATACTTACAGTTTGGCATATGGATGTGTGATTAATTTCCAATTCAGATTTGCAGACCAGACTCTGACAAAGTTATAAATGAAACATTTTGTGGACTGTAATTAATTTTTGTTATTTGCAAAACAATTTCAAATTTTTTTCAGAATTACTGAATGCAGAAATTGCATCAGATAGTGGCTCTAAAAGTTTACTTTATCTGGTGGGGCTTATATTGTATTGACATCACCTAAA